ACTTACATTTAGTCTCACCTACAAGTGATGTCACTTACATGCAGTATCACATACACGTGATATCATTTACATGCAGTATCACCCAGGCAGATGTTGGTGCCTTTGTAGAGCAAGACGGCTCCTTAGGCAGCTTAGCTTATTTTCCTTGAACTAGTGGAAAACAGGTCTTGAAAATACAATTTCACAAAGTTTGGTTTGCATTAGAAGATGTACATATATTCAAAGGTGTGATATCACATTGCTCTTTAAGTACTACTCGATTAGAACCTCCTTTATCCGTACTGTGAAATCGTCTGGATTACTCAGGTCCTGTTTAACGATTCGTCTTCTGAAGGCTAGCGATTCGTTGTACATACTTTAGGACTGTTTGAACCTTAGTGTAATATGTAAAAAATATATCACATAATGCAAGCGGCAGTACATCGTTACTTAACAATGGGGTGCTGCCCCGTATTTACTTACACCTAGTTTGTTTAGACTGTCGGTTTTGTTGTTTACAGTTCCAACGTTTTCTGCGCCCAAGTGTGCCCGGGGTGGAGGGGAGACGGCCATCTTCTCGAACGGCACCATGATATCCTGCTTGGGAAACCAGGACTGTCCAATCAACTTCGTCTGTTCGTCAGGTGCATGTTGCCAGGACCTCTCTCTGTGCTGTAAGTTTACCACTCGTCGGTGAACATACACTAACCCGAGGATCTAGTTCCGTGTTTCTTGTAGTCACAAATCACCTGCCCTTGATTTCATTAATGTCATACTAACCAATGAAACGTCGGCAAACATGTAGGGTAAGGGAGGTAACTCGTATGACGTGGTAACTCAAGTTGGAAAACAGAAACCAACGGAGGGAATATGAATATTGCGAGAAAGATAGGAATGGACCCAGGTAGGTTCGTTGGTTTACAGAAATGCAAACCCTGGTTATGCAGAGAAATATAGAGGGTAAACTAACTATACTCTGCCTCTAAACCCGGCGTCAAACCTTTCCACTGTTTTCGTTAAATGCAGCCAAACTGGGCAACTGCCCCGCCCGTGTGACCTGGTGTGGGGTGAACAACGAGTGTACGTCAGACAGCACCTGCCCCGGGGACGCCAAGTGCTGCTCCTACCCTGAATGTCAAGGTCAACGATGTGTTAGACCTGTCTTTACCGGAAGATAGATAATCGCCATCTCTATATTTGTACAAGTCGGCGTAGCATCAGCCACTGTATGACAGACTGACCAATAAAATAATCCCAGAAGCTTGTCTTGCTATCTTCTCATGAGTCAGATTAAGAGGAGAGTTTCATCCTCCCGTCACCGAAACCGTATACCTATACATATACACGTGCTTGGCTTCAGGACGACTAATATGAGGTGGCTACAATGAACGGTCCTGCGGATAAAGTGTATCGTTGCCTTGATTGATTAAAATCTCAATTTTGCAGCTATTGGGGGCGAGCCGTTGTCCTAAAGACACATGAAAGAATGCATAGTACCGACCCAAATACTATTAAAAAGGCACATTATTCGAATATGACATTCGGAGTGAGTGAGTGAGTTAAAATTTTACATCGTATCGGCAATATTACAGCCATATAGCGATGAAAAACGATGTAATCAATTTAACTAGCTGTCGACAAAGGACAGTAAAACCAACTAGACTATCACAGATATATACTATGACATTCGGAACTTGTATCTTTCATTAAAAAAGGATCGTAAAATTGTAAACTCAATGATTTTGTTCAAACTTCTTCTACTTTCCATATATCCTTATTCAATGTGACTGAAAGTGTTATAAGTAAAACCAAACTCACTCTTTCACGGGTTCTGGCAGTCTTAATTCTGTCCTAAAGTCAAATCAACAGAAATGAAAAAAAGCAAACACATTTGGTAGGTGTCGTTTTAATATATTTACTCAAGACCGAAATAATCATAGGTAAGCATAATGTTATACATACAATAGCTGAATATTCTATGAACATACTGTTAAATTACCATGGATGGGTATTATATGCACGGAGACAGATAGATACGCGTTTTTTCTGACTAAGATGTAGAGGAAAATTTTTCATAAACATTATTATTTAACATATCCGCCGCCTAATCGGTAGTCAGGATGGTCGGGCGTCTGTGTTTCCTGAACAAAGGCCAGAAAGATGGAGGCTCGCAGTCAAAACATACAGTTTCGTCTGTAATATATTCTGTCTGCACGTACATTAACGTACAAGAGGCGACTTCATTCAGCACATGTGCGTCATAGCGTTGACTGGAAGTTCGTATCATGTATACCGAACTATACTCATGCCAATAATGGTTGTCACCCCCTTCAATTTCTTTTATTGGAGAGGGGGTGTGCGATGGGGATGTGGGGTGTGTGTAGGGTTGGGGTGGGGAGGGGTGTGACAACCATTATTGGAATGAGTATATTTCGGCTTCCGCTGTTTCTCACATTGCATGATGTGTTTCACGTCCCCTGACGTACGTACACCTTTTGTCGGTATTGAGACAAGATGTCCTCCATCAACACCTGGCGAATATGGAACTAACTTGTTGGTCCAGCCGGGACACAGCAGCTATACTGACATACACAAGAAAGCACACACCTGCCGTTTTGGGACTATTGCTAGCAATGTTGTAATTGGGTACAATATCTGTCGTGTTTTGGAAACACTTGCACAATCTTTGTGACAAGGCAGAATCAAAACACTTTTTAAATATTAATGCTGTTTTCAAGAAAATATTTACCAAAGAATCAGGTGTGTACTTTCTTTTGAACGTCAGTTTAGTTACATACATCAATTTAACGTTCATTCGCGTGGTCACATTACCTGACGAAGGGAGGATACAAAGCTGTGAACAACAGGCAAATATATATAGAGAGAGATAGATAGATAGATAGATAGATAGATTTTAGTTGTGTAGGAACCGATTTCTGAGTTAACCTTTTAATTCGGAAATCAATCTTTATAGGATGTATGTCAAAGTTGGTGAAGTCACATACAGAATGAACAGCCAGCTCCCACACCAATTCGTCCTGCCTCTATACACACACAGACACTGCTTGAGCTAAATTAACTAATGTAGACTCTAAACGTCTCACACGATTCCTTTGAATCTAACAATCATGTTGAATCCAGTCAAAACGTTCTTCTTTCCACTTTTCACAACCTCCATACAAAATAACATTCCTGTCATTCACAGACGCCACTGAGACACATGGAAACAATACCACGTAGTTTCACAAAAGAATACACTTGCATAGTTGCAATTACAGAGAAGTACTCAGTTCTGTCCCAATATTTTGATCACCACGTCCGACTTGAAATAAAGGAAAGCCTCCATTCCCTGTTTTACGAGTAACGTATATGGATGTTCTAATATGATTCAATAAAGGTCAGAGAGTTAATTCACTTCAACGAAAAGGTTTCGAACAACAGTTCTTCAAAAGTCATTTATCTATGATTGTGCTTATTAATTGAATAATCTCTCATCCACAATAAAATGTACCAATTCATTGCCATCCCTTAAATTTGAATTATCTGGAAAAAGAAATTTGATGAAATTCCTAAATTTTTCCTAGTTGGTGAAAGGAAGATTAATATTCTACACACTAAGTTAGGACATTCATGTAGTTCTTTAAATGCTGATCTTTTACGTGTCAATTTATCTGAAAGTAAAGCTTGCCTTTGCGGTGCTCGGGTGGAAGATGCCAATCATTTCTTTTTAAAATGTCCTTACACAAACTATAAATGAAAATATTTTTAGTCAAGTCCATAAATTCATTGTACGTAGTAGGCGTTTCACTGACTGACTGACTGAGTTTAGTTTTAGCAATTTGTCAGCAATATCACGGCGGGGGACACCAGAAATTGGCTTCACACATTGTACCAATGTGGGGAATCGAGCCTGGATCTTCGGCGTGACGAGACAACACCTTAAGCACTAGGCTACCCTAGCGTCCCAGTAAGCGTTTCAATAATGTGCAATATGTCTTACCTCTGTTAATTGTCCATTGCATGTACTTTTCCCATGTAACTGTCGGGAGAGGGCTTTAATAAGTTGAATAACTTGTGCCCAATCCCTTTCAATACTGAATAAAATATGTTCAATACAATAATAACAAAAAAAACCCAACAACCTAAAAATATATTAGCATAAAAAGAGAGCAAGCTGTAATACTATACACAAAGAACTAAGTTAAGCACCCGTTACGTATCTCACGATTGAGTGAGCCCCGATCTTAACCCTTTGAAGCACATCTAGGACATGATTGCTTGTCGTGTGCAGCAAAGGGATCCTCCTGTATAGAAACTGGCCCAATTGGAAGCTGCTTTACACGAGGAATGTAGTAGACTGGCCTTCAGAGGACCAGGGGGCTGACGGGGGATATGAGGAGGAGAGTGCTGGCTGTCATACAGTCACGTGGAGGTTACACTCGGTATTGAGCTTGAATCGTGTAATAAACGCAAAATGACATTTTGAATGTTCACATTCACCAATAAATTCAACATTAAACATTCCAGGGCCCTACCTGTACAGACATGGTTTTGTATGAAAATCAGTGGGTATTTTTTTTTTAAATGAGCAATTATCATCATAAAGTCAACACGGATTCCAATCATTTTGTCGTTTTTTTACGAGTCAAAGGATCATACGGATGAGAAAAACTCCATCATGATCACCACGAGATGTTTTACGTGGGTGTTGAAAACCTATCATTACGAAAATACAGAAGGTGCTTAATTAAGTTCTTTGTGTGTGTGTGTGTGTGTGTGTGTAGATATATAGATAGATAGATAGATATATAGACTAGCACAAGTCTATAAGGTATCAAATAATAGTTCAAACGTTAATTTCTAAAAGAACACACCGTTTCTCTAATAGACTGGTGTCCGTATAAGCATCAAAAAGAGAGCATGCTGTACAATAGTGCAATCATTAATAGTGTATACTGTAATCAAAATACGAAAGTAATTTTAAAAATCTACAATAGGAATTCAAACCAACAAAAAGATGACGTGATCCATACACTTTGTCGCCATTGCAAGATTCAGTTGTAAACAAATGATCTTTCAAGGATATATATTATACTCTTTTGCAGATGAAATGAATACATCCTTCATTTGTGCAACTAGAAAAGAAAATTAAACGAGGACAATACCTTTGTAAAATATCAAAATTACAATTGTCGATGTCTTTTTTCAAAGTTGATAAATAATATTATATATAGTGTGTCAACTGCACTGATTCCCAGCAGAATCTGTCCCCACTGTCCAAATAATGAAGAAGTAATATACATAAGTATATGTATCTGTACAATGTTAAGTGAACAACTTAATCAACATGTGTATTACACAAGAGCGATAGAATTGTCAAAAATAAACGTTTGATCAACATGTCCCTCTCAAAACGTTGTTTGCAAATATGTTCTCTTTCAACCTAAACTTTTGCTGAGAACCCTGCCCTTAACTGGATGTGATGAATGGAGGTCAGAATTATATCCCCGCAACCTTCGTGTTTTGAACTACTAACAGGGGACTTCGAATCAGTCAGTGACTAAAAGTCTCTAGGCTACATCACCATATGGTCCTCATACATTAGTATCTGACATCTTTGAACCTTTTTCACATAATTTTGTTTCAAATTCGAACTATATATTTGTTGATAAAGAGAAAACCCCTGAGCATTCTGTGGGTTGATGACACTCGTAAGACATCACAATCCATAATATTTCATGTCAATAATGGAAGTAGTCCTGTCCATTAAGTGTCGCAATTCATAAATATTTATTGCTAAACATTTATTCACATGTGTCCAGCAAGATGTATTCATTATGCGAATGCTTATTAGCACTACATTATATAGTCAAAGATAATACAATATCAGACAGTTTGCAAGCATTAAGAGTTTAGTTCGCCTGCAACAACAGAGATCCAATCTACATGATCGAGACCACCACGTGTGTTCAGAAGCCAGGGCACTGCTCTCCTTTGTGCATTTCCATTTCGTTCAGGTACTCGAGGGCAGTGTCATCGTTGTCGTTAGCGGATTCCTTGTCTTCTTTGAACTTGAATCTCTTGCAGATGTCGAAATGCAAAATATAGCAAGGAAGAATGCAGTCCTCCTCGTATATCACAATTTCCTTGCCATACGGGTCTACATGACAGTCGTATCCGGGCTCTTTTGGGGCTCCAAGTTTTAACTTCGGACACCTAAAGGTCTGAAATATCAAGTTGTTGTTTTTTATATACTTGTTCTTATTTACAACCTACAATTTCATAACAAGTTTTAAGAATGGTTGTGGGCAATTTCTAGGACCACATAAGTGTGTATGTAAATGCGACATAGTTATTATTTTTTGCTTGACTGGAGTGGATGAATATATAATTAAGTCTAATGAAGACTTCGGACTGGTCAATTTATTGTAGTGACTTTCTTTATGAGTTGGAGTTTCATATTCAGGGAGTTCACATCCGGTGTTTTACAAGTGACACAGTATTGGCATGAGAAATGCAGGAATGTCCCTCAGACAAATTGAACATAATGTTGGGCGCAATCCTTCCATCATTTCAAGACACGTTTACCAATGGTGTTGAAGATCTTCCAAGACCTGGCAGACCCAGCAAGACAACACTTAGAGAGGATATAGCATTGTTGAAACTTGTTACTCGCTGTTCATGGGACTCAAGCACATGGTTATGGTAACGGTGGTTACCAATGAGTGTCATTTCCTACAGGACCGTCAGTAATCGGAAAGTCAGGACAGAGGTCCAGGAGGCCCGTCAAGCGCATGCAACTGTCTCCTGTTCACAAAGCAGCACCGCTTGCCTGGAGTATTCAACGTGTTCGCTGGAATATTGCACCATAACACCACCATTAAAACTGTACAACCTTCCATGTAAACCATCCCGCCATTATCTGTACATTTGTACTTCTGATGCTGAGTATGGTTCCTGGTCGTACACACGGTTGGGGACAATGGAACACAGTTATGGTTCCCTGCAACATCCAGGAGACGGTTTCCTGTGGGTATCATGGTATGGGGATACATTTCCTTGGGTGTCAAGATGGACCTCATCACCATTCGTGGTAACCTTAATAGGCTTCGGTATCAAAAGGAGATCCTTGAGAGGGATGTTGTCCCACGTTTTCATAGCCATCCTCTAGCCACAATGCCAGGCCTCACAGAGCACGTGCTGCCACCCAGTTCTTGCCAAGGAATACTGTTGAGACCATTCCATGACTAGCCATCAGTCCAGATCTCAATCCCACTGAGCTCCTGTGGGACATTTTGGGACATTTATGCTGTCGTGTTCGACGGAGAGACCAGATTATCCAGACTCTCAATGAATCGACAGCTGCCTTGCATGACCCTTGCATGACGAATGGAACAGGATTCCTCAGAATCAGTATTTGGACCTACAAGACATTATTCTTCAATTCCATGAAGAAGTTGTGTGTACTGTACTGACAGTTAGGTCTTCGTAAGAAAAGTGAACTTTGTTATGTTGTTCCATGAATGACTTCATTTGCCAAATCTGTACCATATTTAAATAAACCAGATTATGTCATGGCAACCTGGCTATGTTCCTCCTCAACCCTTTCTTTTCACTACAAAGTTCATATGGTATGAAAATCATTGACACATTTTATGCACCAGTTCATTAGATTTGTTCAGTCTGAGAAAATACGGCCGTTGCTATATAATTTCCATGTGAATATGGGGTGTCTAGGCTTAATGTATTAAACTAATAAGTCTCTGTTCTGAAGTCGTAATTGTTTACATCTAGGTGTCATGCTGATTATACGTTTCTGATAAATAATACGATGGCCATTACATCTAGGCTAATACATCAATGTACGTTTTGACTCATGCATGCAGTAGTAGAACTGCGCTGAGTCTCGCTGTGTGATACTTGTATGACACTTTACCTTCCCCTTCAGGACTTGGCACATGATTAACTTGCTGGTCTTCTGCATGTAATTCATCGCAAACCGAGGGTATTCACTGAAGTAGATACCGTTCCCGTACCAACCCACGTCAGTTGTCTCGTCGAAGTAGGGGTGGTCTGGTTCAAGAGGGTGTCCAGTAATAGTTTTCGATAAAAAATGTAGTATTGAACAACTGAATAACCAAGCACTATATAATCTAGTTCCTAATTTATGATATCGGCAGTTGTCGCAAATTAAAAACAAACCCAGTGATAACAATCAATTTAATTGTAGGTATATGCCGTTCATATTTTCTGTTATTTAACTATTCTATAATTAGTCAAAGGATAAGTCATATGTAGGTGTACAGAGTATTTTCACTATTTTGTATAACAATCTTATTGAACATTGGATGCATAGTAAAAGTTAGAAAAGAATGTGAATTGCAGTCTGTGACAATCTATTTTTTTCTCCAGTATATGAAAATATATAAAAACTATTTGGACTATATAAAATTCTAAGACACGTGGACATTTATATACTGTGATACATCAACAGACATGAACACATTGATCAGGCAGCCAGTATCAGTTTAGGAGAAACAGACAATAGTACCCACCAGGCTGACGGAATCCTTCCTTACAAATACTCTTTATGTTGTCCTCAGACGTCCCATGAAAACAAAGAACAGGAAGGCCGTATGAAGCGTCTTTAAGGGACATTCTCTCCTGGGCCGCCCTGCACATATGACATATTGTATATACACGATGTAAATCGATCATTCTCTTTCTACAAATATTTACAAACTTCAGCTCTTGCTCACATGTTGTTATATCCAGGTTACAACATTCATGGTGGATGTATGAAGACATTTTGTAAATTTGACGCATCCCTGACTGAAGTGATGTCCGATTCAAATCTTAAATTTTATTTTAATGATTTCTTTATTTTTGTTGCACTTAAACACAGTGCACGTGTATATAACTGTCTATGTGCCATGTGCTCTCGTGCTTTCTCAGTAGAGCAATTGAACATGCTATTGCGTGTGTTTGTGACACGCGTCGCCATGGGACAGGAAACGCCCACCTTTTTAGCGAAGGACTGGTATTACCAGGATTTGAAGGTGATCGATGGATGCATGTTTAAAAAATGGTCGGAATTGTACCATCGACTCCTGTTTTGACAGAAATGTCATATGAATAGGGAAAAGGTTTTGTCCCACTGATTCATATAAGCATGTGTACGTACCAGTGCATTAATCCAATATAACTGTGGAATGATATACTACTACTGATATTATTTGTAGAAGTGAGTAGTAACCCATACTTGTTAAAAGATGCGACTAATGGAATGGGGTGGTCAGGCTCGCGGACTTGGTTGACACGTCTCATAGTATTACAATTGCGATCATAATCACTGGGTTGTCTAGTCCAGACTTGAGTATTTATAAACCTCCGACACATAATGGAATATTGCTAAGAACGACAAAAAAGAACTAACAATGCTTAACATCGACTCACCTGAACATTTTCACCTGCACGGGGTTCACGACGTATTCCACTTTGGTGAGTTGAAAAATATGCCTGAAGGAAAATATTCGTAAATTATACAGTGGAATCTGTCAAATCCGGACTCTGTGTAATACGGCTTTCTCAAAATCAGGCAAAATTGTTCTTAATTTATCATTAAAGTGTGAAGTTGAATTTATGGTGAAAAATCAGGCCATAAAGCGTGAATAAGCGTGAAACATAACTATCACGCACAGCGTGTCACATGATCAAGGCACACGCATCAACATTGCAAGTTTATTGAACAAGCGAGTATGCTGCGATTCACAATCAGCAACATGAGAGTGTCATAGGCAGGCTTAATGCAGCAGAACAGTACACAGTTTAACGACGGTATCTTCCCATAAGACAGACCTCCAAAAACACAGACCGCTTAAAACAACACATTTTGTGGTTGGTTGCATAAGGCTTAATTAAGCTGTACCCTTGATAATATGGTATGTGCCAATTAGGTATTAACTATAGCTTTATCATGTAATGAATTATGATTATTAAATTAAGACATATTGCATCAACATATATTTGCCAGATCACATTTTCTTATGACTATTATCAAAAACAATAATTTATATACATGTACCTGTCAAACATATGAGACCAAGCACCATATTATTTTACACACATGTTTTTCAGTGCACAGATAACACGTATTAGAAAGTCAATTGAACATCATCATTTACTCCTTTCACCTTGGCATACAGGTAACCATCTAGAAGGGTGATCGGAAAAAAGACATAGGAAAAACTTCATGTGAAAAATAACTATTATAAAACATCCTGTTCACCAGTTATATACTTTGTTTATACTGAATTTTATAAATACTATTTCACTTTCATCTTCAAATAATCTTTAGTAATAAAAACATCCTGTTCTCCAGTTATTTGCAAAAAACTTAGCCAACAACTGTTATAAAAACGACCTATTCTCCAGTTATTTATACTTGTATGATCTTGAGTTTTTCTTTATGAACATGATGGCCTCGAATATGTAAATAAGCTTATTGAGGACCAGCTTGGTATCTTTATGAAATTGTTGATATTACTTTACAGGGCACAGGAGATAGGAGTGTGATGTTATTATACTCTGTAGTGACTCAGGATCAGCTCATTATTTAAATAGGGTTGGACAGCATGGCTCAGCTAATTTGTGTACTCATTGAGTTTGTCTTATGGGTGGTCTGTCTTTTGGGAGTGAACCTTAAGGACCCATATACAACAGACGAGCACTGCTGCAGGTTTGGGGTGCCGAGTATGACGTCACACCAAGATGGCGTACAAATCGATCTCTAGAACAGATCTGTGATTGCAACCTACACTAGCAGACACTTGTTCTGGGGTAGAGTGTCAGCACAGATAATCAGGAATCGCCTTCACACCACCTGTCATCGACCCAGACGACGCACGTTCATCGTGTTCAACTCTTCACTGCGCTCTGCTGTTGACAGTGTAGCCTACGGTCTGTCTTTCCGGAGGGGAATGTTGCACAGTGTATGTAGTTTACGCATTATCATTATGCTGTTGTTCAGTTATATTTTTAACGAAACCCCAAAGTCATAAAATTATGATAGTAGGATATTTATATAGCGCACATATACATGCATCTACATGCTCAATGCGCTTGAGTGTTCCCTTCATCAACGGATGTCTTTTTTGTATTGTTTTTACCAACTCAACTCCGCGGGGATCATTCAAGTGCCGCCAGTTAAGTGCAGTCTCATCCTCAGAAAGTACCCATTTGCAGTATTGTGTCCAAAGATACTGCACGTTACTATACCCACAACTAGGTGTATGCACGTGTTCGTGTTTATACCATCTGATCACCTGACCACCTGATTCATGTTTTGAATCTATGTAAAATTATTGTTCCACTACAAATGTTACACCTATGCTACTGCACTGTTCAAATGTTTGTATATCCACATTTCAGCTGACAACAAACATGTTTACATATGAAGCATGGCATACTGATAATTTGATGTTATGATCAAAACATCACATGCCTGTATATCTGTATATATGAATCAAGGGATACAGAGAAACTACTGCCTTATGCAAACTTTGTTCATGCATCTGTCTCCTGAATATGCCAATTAAATGTTCCCACATGTGCACCATTTTGCTGACAATCATCATGTTTAGATATGAACTATGACATACTGATGTTTTTATGCTATGTACAAAACATCACATGTTTTTATATATACATTTATAAAACAAATTCACTTAACTGCTTCCATCATTGATGCACGGTTTTGCATAAGCATAACAATGTTAACATTAAACTATATTACCTATTTTATCTATACTACCAAACGGTATTCACTAGTCAATAACCATACTACCTAACAAAAATAAATATATAATCAACAAACAACAACGAGAACCTGTAGCCACAATATAACTGACTCGCTGAATATTAGCAACAATAATGACCAAAAATGTAAACATACTTCACATAAATGAATAATGAATCCCAAATAACGTACAAAATTTAACTTTAAAGATAAAGAAGAGATAGTTACTACTACTCAAGACTGAATATAAAATCACATGCTAAGCGGCCAAATAAACACAATATCAACGTTACATGTATTAACAAAGACCACACTGAAAAGAACAAGCCAACTGCACGTGCAACAGGCGCATGCCACGACTCTAGCATGTAACCCGCGCTAAACACTAACCCTAGGACAACTGAATTACACCATACGGCCATGCCTCTACCTAAACACTAACCCTAGGACAACTGAATTACACCATACGGCCACGCCTCTACCTAAACACTAACCCTAGGACAACTGAATTACACCATACGGCCACGCCTCTACCTAAACACTAACCCTAGGACAACTGAATTACACCATACGGCCACGCCTCTACCTAAACACTAACCCTAGGACAACTGAATTACACCATACAGCCATGCCTCCACCTAAACATTAACCCTAGGACAACTGAATTACACCATACGGCCATGCCTCTACCTAAACACTAATCCTAGGACAACTGAATTACATCATACAGCGATGCCTCCACCTAAACACTAACCCTAGGACAACTGAATTACACCATACGGCCATGCCTCTACCTAAACACTAACCCTAGGACAACTGAATTACACCATACGGCCACGCCTCTACCTAAACATCAACCCTAGGACAACTGAATGACACCATACGGCCATGCCTCGACCTAAACACTAACCCTAGGACAACTGAATTACACCATACGGCCATGCCTCTACCTAAACACTAACCCTAGGACAACTGAATTACACCATACGGCCATGCCTCTACCTAAACATCAACCCTAGGACAACTGAATGACACCATACGGCCATGCCTCCACCTAAACACTAACCCTAGGACAACTGAATTACACCATACGGCCATGCCTCTACCTAAACACTAACCCTAGGACAACTGAATTACACCATACGGCCACGCCTCTACCTAAACACTAACCCTAGGACAACTGAATTACACCATACGGCCATGCCTCTACCTAAACACTAACCCTAGGACAACTGAATTACACCATACGGCCATGCCTCTACCTAAACACTAACCCTAGGACAACTGAATTACACCATACGGCCACGCCTCTACCTAAACACTAACCCTAGGACAACTGAATTACACCATACGGCCATGCCTCTACCTAAACACTAACCCTAGGACAACTGAATTACACCATACGGCCATGCCTCTACCTAAACACTAACCTAGGACAACTGAATTACACCATACGGCCACGCCTCTACCTTAACCACAACAGGATAACACATGTACCGGATTCTAAACAATCAAATGAAGGTAACACTCTGCCTTATAATGTTATTTTCTGTTAGCTCTCCCTCTCTACTTTCACCTTATAAATTGGAACTTTGTACAAGACATAACAATGGATTATTTCAACTATAAAAACGTTAAAAATGCAAAAGCTAGAGAAACCTGGTTAGAATTTATGGAAGGAAATGATCTAATAGACCCATGGAGAGAACAAAACCTAGATAGCAAGAGATACACATATATGGAAACAGAAAACCCCCGTCAAACAGACAAGACTAGACTACTTTATCGTTTCCAAAAACCTCAAAAGTTTAATTCACGATACCGGCATTGGCGCAGCATATAGGTCTGACCATTCAATAATTTGACACCTAAAGATCAGTGAGATAGAAAGAGGCAAAAGCTACTGGAAATTCAACAATTCTTTACGCTATGATAAAACATATGTGGGAAAAAACCAAAATACTGATAAATGAAATCAAAGAATACAAATCTTACGTAGACGAAACAGGGAAATATGTCTTCAAAGTAAACGATCAGCTCTTCTTGGAAACGCTTTTGTTAATGATCAGAGGACACACAATAAATTATTCTTCCTATAAAAAGAAAGAAAATTTGAATATGCGCCAAACGCTTGAAAAAAACATAGATCAACTTGAAATAAAAATAGATTCATCATATGATACAGATTCCAAAACAAAGCTACAGGATGAATAAAAAGAAGCAAATAGAGAATTAGAGACTATTGATAAAAAAGAAACAGAAGGGATACCACTACGATCTAAAGCTAAATGGAAAGAAGGAGAAAAAACGACAAAATATTTTCTGTCTCTAGAAAATCGAAACTTTTTAAACAAAGCAATATATAAACTTGAAAACAATCAAAAGGAAACCCTAACGAAAAAAGAAGATCTTATAACTGAAACTAAATCGTTTTACCATAACCTATACACGAAAAAAACATGCGAAAAAGTGAACCTAATAGAATTGCTTAAAAACATAGACGTCCAAAAGCTATCAAAAAATCAACAAGAAAATCTAGAAGGACAATTAAGATATGAAGAAGTTTTAAACAGTCTTAAAAAAATGAAAAATGAAAGAAGTCCTGGCTCATCGGATTTCACTGTTGAATTCTTCAAAAATTTTGGGTCCAATATTCACGAGTATCTTATAAGATCATTTCATTCAAAAAGTTCTTCTATTCTTTAACTTTGGACCATCGATTACAAGATGGATAAATACCTTCTTTAATAACATTCAATCATGTGTTGTTGTAAATGGTTTCCTTTCAAATTATTTCAATATCTCGAGAGGATGCAGACATCTCCCCTTATGTTTTTATACTGTGCGCAGAAATTTTGGCAACAATGATTAGAAATAATAATAAAATAAAAGGAATACAAATTGGAGATACAGAATACCTAATTTCCCAATACGCTGATGATACTTCGCTGATACTAGATGGCACTGAAAAATGTTTACAGGCGACATTAGAAATTTTTAGTAAATATGCCTATTTTCAGGCTTAAAAATAAATGTAAACAAAACACAGGTATTATGGATAGGCTCAGAAAAAAACTCTAAAAGAAAATTTTGCAGAAACTGGGATTTAGACTGGAAGAGTGACTCGTTTACACTATTCAGAATTGTATTTACTCACAACATCGCAGAAATGGTTGAACGCAACTATAAAGATAAACTTAAGACTCTCAAAATATCAATGAACCAATGGCTAGCAAGAGATCTAACTCCCTTAGGTAGAAATGCCATATTGAAAAGTTTACTTTTACCGCAACTTAATCATTTATTTGTAACTCTACCCACCCCAAACGATCAAATGATTAAGGAAATTGAGGAACTCTGCTTTACATTTATATGGAAAAACAAACCAGACAAAGTCAGTCGAGAAACTATATCACAAAGAATTATGAATACGGAGGAATACGAACCCCAGAGATAAAAAATCTTATTTAATCACAAAAAATATCATTGATTAAAAGACGCACCAACTCAGATTCAAAAGTAAGGAAATTGCTATAAACGAAGACACATTGGGACATCGACAGCTTTATACAAACATGCAAAAGACACATACTTGAATAAGTAATAACTCAAGAAACAAATAATTTTTGGAAAGACACTTTCAAATCATGGGGTAAATTAGTAACCAGAAAAGCAGAAAAAGCAAAAAATGCATGTGATATTTTATCCCAACCCTTATAGTTAAATGACAATATTCAAATAGATGGAAAACTAATCAATTATAAACATTATTCAAGCAAAGGGAATACTTATATAAACGACATTTTTGACGACAAAGGTAACTTTTTAACGGTGGAACAATTAAAAAAATCGTTTGGGTGCAAAACTAACTTTCTAGAGCGTCAAGGAATAGTGGAATCAATTAAATACTACTGCAAATCCATAAACATCCATATTGAAGAAAAAATCCAAGCCCCGATCTTGCCCTATCTTTTACGAAATATAGCAGGAAACCCCAAAGGATGTAGAGATATCTATGACATACTCATAAATGGTAAATACTGAAGACCTTTAACATATCGAAACAAGTGACAAAAAGAACTTAATGGGTCTATTGTCGATAATATATGGGGAACGATAGAAAAAGCAACCTTTAAATCGTATAATAGTGTAAAACACTCGTGGTTTCAATACAGCATACTGCATAGGTTTCTGCCAACAAATGATTTGCCAACAAAAATGAAATATAAAGATCCCAACACATGCACATTTTGCAAATACGAGAAAGAATCAATTTTACATCTATTTTGTGACTGTAAAGTCATAAAAGCTATTTGGAAGAAAATAGAAGAATGGATATTCGAAAAAACAGGGTCAAATATTATCTTTTCAAAGAAAAATATTATTCTAGGATATTGTGAAAAGAGAAACCATGCTCTGAATTTGATAATAACAGTAGTGAAACATAAAATATACAAAATGAAACAAAGAGATAAAACACCATTTGAACTACATTATTGAAGACGTAAAGACAACATATTATGCTGAACATTTTAATGCCTATTCAAATTGCAAATATGACAGCTTCACAAAATTTTCGTCACTGTGTCACAACCTGTTCTGTTAACCTAGCGCTATATATAATGTACTGCTATTATATTTTCAAGTACCTATTCATTTTGCCTGTAAATCAACTTTGTATATATTTACGAATCGTGATTATACCAACCTGTTAAGTAATGAACTGTATGGATGTATGGAGAATCAAAAATATAAAAAATATTTTAAAAAATCTGACCACCTACTGTCGAATGAGTGGGTTGTTTTAAGTGCACAGGGTTGTGTACTGCACACTAGGGGATGTGACATCACTGAAAGAGCCTGCAAGTAATGTTAGCTCCAAAATGTTAACACCCGGTCACAAGTGGGAATCGATCCTGGCACCTTCCAGGCAACTGCCCCCTCCATGATAAAATAGTCCAACATACTCATCACGCGAGGCTGAAACGGTAATTTACTCAACAGGGGAGGTAACCTCACATGTGACAGTTGACCCCAGCTAGCAGAACAGTTTAGCTTCTTCTGTATGGGTCTGTGTTGACATAGCTTTCTCGATACCTCTTCATAAATTTCAACATGATTTAACAATGTATTTTTTCTGGTCTATTTCCATTAATGGTATTATTTCTGTCTTTCTTAAGCAGTCGTTTGCAACATGTCACATTTGGTCTACTTTGGCTTAAGATTCCCTATAATTGTCAATTAAAATGGGAAGGTAGTCTGTGATTCCGTCTTTTCTCTAATTGATAAATATGAGTTTGTTTTTGTATGTCAATATGGCTGAACGTTTTGTGACAATTTACATACCGATTGACAGTGTCCTTCATGAGGTACCTATAGAACTGAGATTCCACCAGCCTAAAGTGGTAGTTTTCTGGCGTCATGTTGAAAAGATGTTCCGGTCTCAGCTCAAAATGTTTCACTTCATTTCCACCAAGTGCTTGCTTTTCTCCAGGGACGTAAGATGCCGCACTGACGAGATCCTAGATAGGATGACACTTGAATGAGGTACATTTCAACCAGCCTGCTAACGTGTTGGGTATCTTGAAAACTCGGAAGTGTTAACTCTACGCCAGAACACCTAGCTCACCATTGGGCTCAGTGGGATTATCTTTACTATGACTAAACTTAAGTCTTTGGCGAAGTATATGAGTGATGTGAATATGTCTGTCTCTATCATTAGATACAATTGTCAAACATGTCTAACTCATTTAAAAGACAACTTTGTCTTAAATACGAGCCATGATCGGTGTATTTACATGTCTATGTGACGCAACTAGCCTCGTTATAGCGAGAGCAAACACTGCCGCCCAGTCTCACTATACATGAAACAACAGACTTAGGAGACGTTACCTTCTGGATGACCACATGACCAGCCACAACATGGGTATCTCCAGTCACTGCAACCCGGGATCCATCTGCAGGATATGAAATAATGTCAAAGGGTGTTTTTAGTTTGTTGTTTAACGACACACTCAGCAATATTCCAGTTATACGGGCTGTAAATAATCGAGTCTGGACCAAACAATCCAGTGAACAACATGAGCATCGATCTACGCAATTGGGATACGATGACATGTGTCAACTAAGTAAGCAAGCCTGACCACCCGATACCGTTAGTCGTCTCTTACGACAAGCATGGGTTTCAGGTGAACAATGCTAATCCGGATATTCGCCGGTTCAACGGCTTATGTACAATTGTGAAATGAATATCGAGCCCCCCCCCCTCCGTCGTATACTTCTACAAAAGGGTTTTACAAAATGTCAAGAGGGGAAAATGCTAGAAGCATGCAGATGATTAATACATGGAACAAGGATGAATTGAGGAGCGTTTTATTTGACTCTGTTTTTTATAACGTTTCTAGTGTTAGCTGTAATATTGCTCTAACAGTTCAAACAGTTGCGTCTCAGTTTACCTCCTTTAACAATATACTTGGCCATGTTCATCAGCCGTTCACTCTCTTCAACTTGTGATTCCAAAATCTAAAATGACGAATAAAAGTGACAAAGCAAGTTACATAAGCACACGAGTTTGATGGTTCCAATCATAAACATGTGTTGATGAATCACTTTCAGATGGTGTTCACGGAAGGGAGCAGTTGCTTTGCTCTGGTCACAGACACGTTTCAGCCTGAATAAACATGGCAACATAAAGTACACTTCAAAGTCCAGAACAGCGTTGGAAACCATTCTGTTTATTGCCAACATGAGTGCCATACAGTCTTTGAATATAATATCCATGTTGGAGAAGAAAGTTAAACACAGAGAGTAGAAGCACATTAAGCACATAGAACAGACACAGGCAATAGCAGAAACCGTGCATACTTTGTAGTATATCTTAAGAAAATGTAAAACTGAGTTTAACTGAGTATGCATTTGCGTTGTGTAACTTTCTATGAACACGAATATACTGAAGTTGCATTTGCAGCTTATGTGTTTCTTTGTCAGGCATTCAATCATTTAAATACATATATAGATAAATAGATTACAACCGTTTCTATTTACGAATGTATTCGTTATGTTATTATACACGAAGGCCACCAATCTCTTCATCCTTATAAAGGCGGATACAGAGTCTACTCCATCACCGCACCTTGACCTTCGTTACAGGTTACATGAAGGAGTGAGGACAGTTAGTGAAATAGAAACCTTTCTGATGGCGTCATCCTTGTAGTGCACAACAATTGAGACAACTTCCAGTGATGTTTTGGCAGGAGTGTTCACAAAGTCCACGATTGCCTTCATCATCAGCCTTGCTGACGTCTCTGGTGGGTAGCCAGCATAGCCTGTCCCGAGAACAGGGAAAGCGATGGACTTGAAGTTGTGTCTCGAGGCTTCTTGTAGGCAGGTAGTAACGACTGAGACAAAGGACTGGAAAATGAAATGTTGGCATTTTGAATATATGCTTGTAAAGATGTATAAACATAATGTGGAATAATTAATTTATGCAATAAGATACAGATAATGCAGGGATTGGCTTCCATGAAGTCACATTAAGTCAACAAACGTCAAGTTGATTCATTTTGGGAATCAGTTCTTCTCCCACAAAATATATTTTATTAGTTATTTCACTCCATACAGGAACTGAGAAGAGATGGTGGCCAAGTAGTCTTAACAGCCACATGCGAGTTTAGTCCCGGCCCTTCACCCGTTGCAGGGTAGTCAGATGCAGCTATATAACCCAAGAATTACTATTACTGCCATGTAACATACCGAGCGCTGATTAACATACCAGTGACATTCTTTCTCCAAAAGTACAGAAAAATGGTTTTAGGCCAAAATGAATTGTCGTTGGCGGGACTAATTTGGAAATGTCATCTCCATGTTTGGCCTAACATCTTTTGAAAGACAACCTTTGACACAAGTCTTGAATGTTGCTGGATCAAATACCTTCTGGTTAGCCAACACGAGCAGAAATTCTAACTAGTATGCAAAAAATCAAGACGGAAGGGACACAATTGGTAATTTCGGCTGCTCAACAAGATTTCATGTTTTATAGCAGTGACAACATATTCTGTTTCTAACAGAGCTCCAGAGAAGACAATAAGCTGCCCTGATGGCTAAATTAATGTTCTAGACCCGTGAAGATCCGGTTTTATCAATCCATGCTTGTCGGATGGTCAGAGTCTTTGACCTGGTTGACATGGCATTGTATCCTAATTGAGTAAATTGATCATGCCGATCATTTGATTGTCTGGTCCAGACTCGAATATTTACAGACAGCTGCAATATAGCTGGAATATTGTTGAGTGCGGCTTTTAAATTAAAAAAAATATCTATGTATTTACAGATTGTGAATTTGTTCTTACCCGGTGAATTTGTGTGTATTTGAATTTGAAATTCTGTTAATCATGTGGGCGTGGAAAGGGTTTCATCGATTTTGATCACGATTTTATATAACTGATTAAAATCACATATTCGACCAAATGAGTTGGACAACAGCGAGCCCTATGCATACATACCTTCTCTGTTTTGTCGCCCTTCTTTCCCCACTCCTCCAGCACTGTGTGGAAGACCTTCTTGCACTTGAGTGTCCCAGCCTGAGTCTGGACAACAGTACCTGGTTTGACCCCCTGAGGGTGCTGCTGTGTGCACTCGGTCTGCAGCACTGGACCTCCAGCACTCACAAGAGAATTGGACACGGCACCAACGGACAGGTCAAGGTCAGTTTGTGTGGTGTTTACCACGACATCGTCCTAGATGGGCGACATTGGAAAAGGTGTGTTTGTCAGTGCCACATGAGCCACATGAGAATATGAACCTTTTCTTTCAATCGTATTGATTCGGAGCTTTGTCAGGTTTTAGCGATCAATCGGCTATTTTTTAATAAATGCACTAAGTTTTGATCTAGGGAGTAGGAGAATTTTCTGTCGTCTTTTTCTTAGGTATGTAAGGGGAGCTAATTTATGCTTCGCATCGTACTTTATATCTCAACTTACAAAAAGACCAGCATTGTGTTGAGTTCATTTTTACCGTGGACACTGGGTGAGGGATTGCCATCATTGTTTATGTTGTTGTAATCACTGCTTTGTATTATACAGCCTTTGAATTTGTGCTGTCTCTGTAATACCTTTCTAGCGTAAACTTACTTACTTGTAGAATACAGCTAATCATATCACATTGCTTTGTTGTTTGTGGGTTTGGTTTTGTTTGGTTCTCAGTTTTACGGACTGAGTTTTGCTTACTGCATTAGTTTCAACATGGCACGGAACACATTTGGTATCTTTTAAATCAAAATAAAAAGATAAACGAATCGTGAACACGCATGCAGAACCATCAATCAATATATTGTACTGTGAATGTAATAATAAATAATGTGACAATAATTTGCACACATCTATGTTTGCATCTTTTGCAAAGCTGACACCGTTGTCATCGATCGATCGTCGGTAATGCAATGAAATTTCATCAGTATATTTATCATTTATTCTAGCAAAATAATCTTAAAATGTATCATTTAAAATGCAAATTTACATGTAGTGTTGCATTTCACAAAATACTAAGGAAGTACAAATCATGTTCGTTGTTGTTTTTATACAGGCTCTAAATAGCATTATGATAGCATATATCATGGTTATCCCTAGCAGACTCTAAGCGTCCAATCAAATAACACTTGTAACAAACGTTGCCATATTTGGAATTTTGGGTTATTTTGTGTTAGTTTACATCCTTTTTATCAATTCATTATAATGCCCATCATTCGTTCTCAATAAATACTTCCTTAAATTGTTATATATACGTCTTACCGCCACACATGTGGCAAGCACTGGACTATTCATCCAGGAACTCTTTCATCGTCCCTGTTACTGAAATGTGCGTGTAGAGCAATTCCTGTAAACGTAGAAGACCCACGACAATCCGACGAAGCAATGACACCTAAATGTTTATGACACACCATTTGTTCGGAACATAACGATTTGGTATGACACTTTACAGTCTAGCTGTATCGCCTTATTTGTAGAAAAATATTTACCAAACTAGTTTCGTTCACGTACCGTAAGTTTTGATAAGTCACCAACTATTGCCCTTACGGTCAGCACTGAAAAATGAAAATGAACTGGGTCACTGATTAGGGAAACAATAGCAATTAACGGCACTGACTGAGACATAGTGTCATTAACTATACGTTCACAAACTCGAACTTCAGAATGATTGTTTGAACTAAGAAATAATATGTAAGGTAAAGTATACTGTTTTACATCGCGATTTTGCATATTGAAACTGGCCACATCACCTTTACTGGTTCCAACTTGTTTCTTCAACACCACTTCCTTGCTCATTGTATTCTCATGCACAACTGTCCGTTTACCCATCCTCCCTTCAAAGTCCTATATGTAGAAATTATTTGTGGTATACTTGAAATAAATTTAAAAGAAGAATAGTTAATACAATGAGTATTTACATAGCTTCAATGAAATCACACCGCTAGTGCAAATCAATCAATATTGATTAAAGTGAACAAATCTGATTTATGCATTCAGTAATTAAATAGGAAATTACCTTTCTCAGCAAGACGTCACATGATGGTTCTAAGACAATTTTGACTGATGATATAGATGTGCCTTCATGCTTCTGTAGATAACTTTCCACGGCCTTAAACATAATGTCGGCAGATCGCGCCCCAGGGAATCTGTGCACCCCAGATCCAAGTGCAGGGAAAGCAATGGTCTTAAATTGTCTCTTTGACGCCATCTCCAGACAATTGGTGACAACTGTTTTAAGAATCTGTTGATAAGCGAACCACTTGGGTAGCAAACTTGAAAATTAAGTAGAAGCGTTTAATAATATATTAGTTGATATATCGCCATCCAGGCTCTTAAGAAGATAGAGTAAGTGGTTGAGTTTTATTTTTATGCCGCTTTTAGCAATATTCCAGCAATATCAACCAGAAACGGGCTTCGCGCATTGTACCCATGTGGTTAGGTCAGAGGATAGAGACGTAGAGAGAGGAATCAACAACGGCTGAAGAAACGTATTCCAAACCTTCTCAGCGGCATCGTTCGGATTCATCCACTGCTTCAACACAACATGGAACAATCTCTGACATTGGAGTGGCCGTCCTTTGGTTCGAACTACCTCACCGACTTGACGTCCGGCCGCAAAGGCCTTGGTGAGTTCCTCCTGCAACTCCTGCCCCCCTGTTTCCAGGGATGGAACACTTCCAGGCAGAAACTTCCCATCAGATCCAATTATGCTCACAATCGCATCAACCTGGAAAAGATATTTATTGATTTCCAATTATGCAATTACTACTCACGAATCACTGAACACTACCACAGTGAAAAGGCTGTGTTGTTTCAAGTGATGACAAGTATGTTGCGTATCTCAGTGAGACCAGATTGACACATCGCTTACCTTTTGATGTGACATGTCACCAACTATCAGTTCCACTGCTTCACTCTTCATCAAAAGGCCCATCTTTGGAACTGCATAAATATACAATAACAGGCTGACAGTCACAGAAAAACAGAATATAAGCAGAAGGAACCATTTTACTTCAGAGAGTGGATCAACAGGGCAATTCCTTCGAGCACTTCTGTTATTTGAGCAACCGTCAAGGGCATGCGAAACTAACCATTCTTTTTCTGTTACTCGTCCTTTTGGATATATTCTTTTGATATTCGGGGTACAGTCCCAGACACGAACAGTCAAATTAGACCCCCAAATTCTAGTCTTCCCCTTATTGTTTATATTTACCGTTTCGTCTAAGAAACGTCTCGACTAAGCCTCGCTTACGAAATATCATGCTTATATTAAAGTACCAAGCAGTCCGACACCCATTGGTCTTGGTGCCATATGACTGGTACCTCCCAGACTGTTGACTGTCATTAGTCGGGTAACCTGGTTTGCTCCTGCCAGGAAGACGGCTCGTCCGACTCTCTGCCTACGCCCTTGAATGTCACTCATGTAACCTGTCTCACTGCTGACAATGTTCACTGAGTAAGTCATTTGGCTCAGTGCATTGCGTTTGAAATGGGGAACTGTTTTCTTCAGGAACCACTCAATTCATATGAATGGAACTTTGCAATCATATCTGAGAAATTCTTGTCAGAACTGCCATTCAATACTTTTTGCCAGTATTACTTCCCTTGCTAAATTTGAGCATACTTGTTATTTACCAAGTCCATCTTAGACCTTACATTTTTCTCCTCATAGGTGTGTACCGGGGTCCATACTCAGTTCCCTGGGGGAGGATCTATCCCAAGCCGACCGACATACTTACCCGATACAGTTGACATTCCACCAGCTTGTGTCGCTCCAGCTGGCAGTGCAGCTTGTTCTGGAGAGATATACAGTATGCAGTCAGTAACTGAGGCCAGTTACCTTAGTATTTTGGAAACCAGGACGTATTTCCCCCCTATTTTTCTGGATATTTAAGTACCAAATACACGTTTATTGTCATAATTTATAGTATAGTATAATATGTTATACGTTTTGAAATATGGTGTAGAACCAAACATCATGAAACGGGCGCCGTCATAGAATGCACTCACTAGTTCCGGAAAACGATTGTACCACAGCGGGACGGACCAGCGAATCTGAAACAAAATATTTAGAATGTAACACCAAATCAATTCGTAATCCAACAGTCAATTCGCTGTAGGGTATGGCCGTCAAATGGTTCTGTATTCTGTGGCCGCTGGCTATTTGAATAAAGTTGACAAGGAAACCATGAAACTCATACACACATACCCTGTATATCATACACACACATCCTGTATTTCATACACACACTCCCGTATATCATACACACACATGCTGTATTTCATACACACATCCTGTACATCATACACACATCCTGTATATCATACACACACTCCCGTATATCATACACACATCCAGTATTTCATACACACTCCCTATATATCAGACACACATACTACATATCATACACACATCTTGTATATCATACACACACATCCTGTATTTCATACACACATCCTGTATATCATATACACACTCCCGTATATCATACACACACACATCCTGTATTTCATACGGACATGCTGTATATCATACACACATTCCCGTATATCATACACACACATCCTGTATTTCATAGACACATCCTGTATTTCATACACACTCCCTGTATATCACACACACATACTACATATCATACACACACACCCTATATATCATACACACATCCTGTATTTCATACACACTCCCTATATCACACACACTCATACTACATATCATACACACATCTTGTATATCATACACACACATCCTGTATTTCATACACACATCCTGTATATCATACACACACTCCCGTATATCATACACTTACATCCTGTATTTCATACACACACATCCTGTATTTCATACACACTCCCTGTATATCACACACACATACTACATATCATACACACACACCCTATATATCATACACACATCTGCATATAAAACACCCACCATGTACATCATACATACACCATGTACATCATACACACACCCTGTATATCATACACACACTCCCGTATATCATACAAACACATCCTGTATTTCATACACACTCCCTGTATACCACACGCACATACTACATATCATACGCACACACCCTATATATAATACACACATCTGCAAATAAAACACACACCATGTACATCATACATACACCATGCACATCAAACACATCCACCGTGTATATCATACGCACACACCCAGTATATCCTACACATACACAATGTATATCCTACACACACCCTGTATATCCTACACACATCCTGTATATCATACTCACACACCCTGTATATCATGCACACATCCTGTATTTCATGCACACACCCTGTATATCATACACACACCCTGTATACCATACACACACCCTGTATATAATACACCATACACACTCTGTATATCATACACACATCCTGTTTATCATACACACATACCCTTTATATCATACACACATACCCTGTATATCATACACCCCTTTATATCATACACACACTCCCTGCATACCATACACACACACCCTGTATATCATACACACACTGTAATCATACACGCCCTGTATATCATACACACACCCTGTATATCATACACACACCCTGTACATCATACACACACCCTTTATATCATCTACACACCCTATATATCAGACAGACAGACAGACACACACACACCCTGTACATCCCCCCACACACTGTATATTATACAGACACCATGTATATCATACACACCCACTCTGTATATTAGGCCTGGGACGGGTAAACCGGATACCCAGAATAGGTGGGTAATGAGTTTGGCCCCGGTACCCGTCTCAGTACTCAGACCCGTTATGATCATATGACTAATAGATTAAATAATGTAATATGTTATTGTCTTTGAAGATTTAGACATAATTACAGTCACTTCCTTTGAATATAATACATTTTAAAAATATTCAAAAACTCGAAATTTTGGCCTCCGAGCTGAAGAATATATTGCCATTTCTTACAAATTTGATGTCAGGAAATAACATGACGGGTATCCGGGAAGGTTGGGGTAACAGGGTAAAATCATACACAAACACACACACAGTATATCATACACGCCCTGTGTATAATACTCACCTTGCGTTGCCAGACTGCGATATCAACAGTAACGTCTCTATTACAAGGAACACGAGTTTACATACCTGCAGATTCCAGCACATTCCCCGGATCTATAGAAAGAAATATAATGACATGGGAAAAGACAAAAACACAATGTAGTTTCAACTGACATGAGTATTGAAACAAATGACCACCTTAGTCCAGAAGGGGAGACTATTCACACCATCTGTTACCAGGTAAATCTCCTCAGACGTGGGAGTCCTAAACCTCTCATACCTTACATATGTGAACAAGGCATTTAATTTATGCTGAGGTGTTGACATAACCAATGATGGCCCTGTACTTCACAATAGGCCATACTTATGGTATTCGGTTTACCTTTTCACCACTATTCACCGCAGTGATGCTTACAAATGATAGGCGGGGTTGTTCGACCCTGCTTTTGAAAGAGATTTATCATGAATATGGAAAGAAGTTGCATGTACCTTCTTTCAGTCGGAAACTCTTGCAGATGTTGAAGTGTACAATATAACATGGAAGTATGAAGTCTTCTTTGCGCAGGACAAGTGCCTTGTCGCGGGAATATACGAGGGAGTAGGAGCCAGGCTTATCTGTCCCCGAGTATATGTTCTGTCCCTTGAACATACCACATAATCACAAAATGAAGAATATAATTATTATGTTATATGATATAGAAATTGTATATCTTGCACTCAAAGCCAAGAAACACTTGCTTTAACATTCATCATCAGGATATTGCATAAATGATACCAGTAAAGGGCTACTCTACATTAACAATGTCTATTAACAATGACTTATTACGTACTGCCTTATCAATACCTTAACATTCTATATATATACTCCATACCAAATCCCTCACATAGTCCAACACACCTACCACTACAACATGATGAATGTTTATGCCACTACTTACACGCAGAAAGTCGTATGTTGTCTTACCGTTCCTCTGAAGACTTTGCATATGAGCAACAGATTGGATTTCTGCATGGACTGCATTGCAAATCGAGGATATTCACTGACTGTGACGGTTTTTCTGTCCCATTGTTGCTGAAATCCTTTTTGACAGATGATTTTTATATTTTCTTTTGCAGCTCCACAAAAAGCAAGGACAGCTTGTTGTTTCGGCATCCGCGCCTGGGCCGCGCTAGAAATGTAAGTTGTCCAATACTGACCAAACTATGGAATTATTATGATATTACCAGGTGTTCCAATTGGCAAGGCTTCAAATACTTTAACCATTGCTCTGCAAGCATCACTACATGTCTCACCGAAGATCTTGGTAGAAAGGAAATACTGGCAAATCTTAGGCTAAAGAAGAGATCTGCGAACGCTATATGATATATCAGTCCCTGGTGAGTGCCGTCAACTTTAGGCTAAATAACATTTGTGCATGTGGATTCCGGGTGTCTTTAAACTATTAACATGGTGTATGACTTTTCATTTATTTTGCTCTAAAGGTTAGATGATGAGGGCCACAACAGGCCTTGGTAAAGCCGGGCTTGACGCATCAGTGACAGGGACGATATCTGACGAGATTCCCTCTATCGACTTATGCCACGTGTGGCTGTTTTAAAGTAGACAAATGAAATAGAATTGCCAGTTAAAGATGTGCCCCATTAGAATTAACTACATACCATTCATGTTCATACTTACTTGAAAACTTTCATTAGGTCAGGATTCACCACATATTCCAGTTTTGTTATTTGAAAAATGTGCCTGCAAGAAACGAAATATACTTCAAAATGTTACTGTTTTTCACATTATTCTGTTTAATCCTTGTGCTGTGCTCCTTATGTTATGTTATATGCGACTCTCATTAAAACTGAACTCCATTTATCTTCTAGGTGAGAACGAACGCTATCTCCTTGGAGAAATCAGTATAACACACAACCGTTTTCTGTAATTCACTGACATAGGGTAGACACTTTACAGGATAAATTCACTTGTCCAATCAGCATTAAATGGAAACATTATACTTAAAGTACCGTGATGCCACTGACCTATTCCCCATGTCTCTTGACAGATACCTGTTGAACTGAGATTCTACCAGTCTGTAGTGGTAATCTTCTGATGACCGGTTGTGCCTGTTTTCGGACTTTAGATCTATGTATGTGACGTCATTTCCCGGACATAGCCTCCTTCTTGCAAATGACGTCAGCAGCACGACGGAGGAGATCCTGGGTGGTAGTAGGTGGGTTCAGTGTACCGCCACTTTGGACAGTATTACTAGGTATATTGCGGGTATACTGGCAACTTAACCCTTTAGGGGCGGTGAGTTAGCCTAGTTGTTAAAGCATTAGCTCGAACCTGGGTTCGATTCCCCACATGGGTACAACGTATGAAGCTCATTTCCGGTGTCCCTCGCCGTAATATCCCTGGAATATTGCTAAAAGCGGCGTACAACTAAACTCAGCCACATAAATTCGGAGTACTGTAAAACTACAATTGTGACTCTGTCTAAACAAACCCAACTCATTATCATGCCTATTTTCCCGCCTCAGCAGACTTGGGCTCGATTTGAGTAGATAAAACCTTCTTGCAACCGGTGCAACCTCAGGTAATAACCTTGTTGCACCAGACTAAACAGGTTGCACCATCTGTTTAACTTAAAACTATAGATATTGGTTCAGTTTGGGTGTTGATGATTTAGTACATCATCATAACAGAATTATTGTGTGTCTGGTAAGATATGTACATTATTCGTCATAAAAGTTTCACGACATGAACAGTATCATTCATTCACCTACTGTCCATGTAGAAACCAAAGTCACTGTTCCAAGTCAGCCATTCACCTACAGTCCGTGTAGAAACCAGAGTCACTGCTCCAAGCCAGTTATTCACCTACTGTCCGTGTAGAAACCAGAGTCACTGCTCCAAGCCTGTCATTCACTTACTGTCCGTGTAGAAACCAGAGTCAATGCTCCAAGCCAGTTATTCACCTACTGTCCGTGTAGAAACCAGAGTCACTGCTCCAAGCCAGTTATTCACCTACTGTCCGTGTAGAAACCAGAGTCACTGCTCCAAGCCAGTTATTCACCTACTGTCCGTGTAGAAACCAGAGTCAATGCTCCAAGCCAGTTATTCACCTACTGTCCGTGTAGAAACCAGAGTCACTGCTCCAAGCCAGTTATTCACCTACTGTCCGTGTAGAAACCAGAGTCACTGCTCCAAGCCAGTTATTCACCTACTGTCCGTATAGAAACCAGAGTCAATGCTCCAAGCCAGACATTCACCTACTGTCCTTGTGAAACCAGTCACCGCTACAAGTCAGTGATTCACCTACTGTCCATGTAGAAGACAGAGTCACTGCTCCAAGTCTGCCATTCACCTACTCTCCGTGTAGAAACCAGATTCACTGCTCCAAGCGAGTTATTAACCTACTGTTTTTGTATAAACAAGAGTCACTGCTTTAAGCCTGTCATTCACCTACTGTTCGTGTAGTAACCAGTCACTGCTCCAAGTCAGTCCGTGTAGAAAACAGAGTCACTGCTCCAAGCCAGTGATTCTAAAGTCTGTGTTCTTTTAACAGCAAAATATTAACATGCACTGGGTGCACGGTGGTATAAACGTGACGTCGTATTTTGAAATCTCAGGTTTGAACCAAGCCCTGCATACAAATGGTTCTATATAACAAGATAAGCCCTACCAAGAAGCTGTTCTTGGACCGTCATTAATGTACACTAATTAAAGACAAAAACGTTATCTGGTTTGGACACTACAGGATTAAGTCATTACCTTTTGACCAACCAACTGACCAGAAACCAGATGGATGTCCTCTCCTACCGGTAACTGGGCGCCGTCTACAAACATATAACTGTGTGTACACTTATGCTTAAACGTTTACCATGTTCTTTTAAACCTACAAACACGAATAAGGCCACAAGATTCTTGAGTTCAAACAGAACTTGCATAGGCATGAATGTTTTACAATATTTACCCCTAATGTAAAAATGTTATATTTGGGATTACACTTTCATAGTTCTAGTGCTGTTTTGAGTCCAATCTTGGATTCAAATTCGCGTTTTCAGCGAGGACCCAAATCGCAAGCACACAAGGTCAGCAATCTAACCCACTCAGCCACTGAGACTTACGGCAACTGATACTCAAGATTGTTGCGTACTTTGAGTACCCTCTGACAAGGCATTGTGCAGCATCCATTGTCTGTCACAGTCTAATACAATGATACTGAAGCAAATTTACCTGCTGTTGTGATGAACTTTGCCATATCCGCTAGCCGTACAGCCTCTCCAAGCTGGTCCTCAACGATCTGGAAGAGGTGTGAGTTACCTGATAAACAATGACCATAAGCGCAGAAATGGAAACCACTTCACCTAGCCGATTGTTGTTAAAATTGTATAATCACAAAAAGATAGGATGACTAAGTAATAGACACATACTCCTGGCTCCGAAACGACTGTACTTCGTAAATCAGGTGAATCAACAAGCACCAGGTGGGACATTACCTTTTTGATGGCAGTATCTTTGGGATGAACGACAACATTGAGAACTTGAAGCGATGTATACGCAGTGTTCTGAAAGAGGTTCACGAATGCTCTGATCATGAGCTTTGTCGACATCTCTGCGGAAAATCCAGCATATCCCGTACCCAGGAGGGGGAAGCCAACAGACGTGAATTTCTGTCGGGATGCCTCTTGCAAGCACGAAGTGACTACTGAGAGAAATACCTGACCAGGAGAAGCAAATACATTTACATTATTTAAGGAACAAAACATTTTTGTTCAAGCATGGGCTTCGGTGAAAGGCGCCTATCTAATATTTGATTAGGCTCATTTTCGATTTACAAAAAGAAATATTGAAATATATATACAAGAGTAATTCAAATATAACATTGCATTCTGGAATCCATAAAACAAGTATCAACTGGTGACGGACCGTGAAGCAAGCACATACAGAATGTATTCGGACTATCTGATCCACACTTGAGTATCAAGTGAACAGAGTTTCATACCTTCTCTGCCTTCTCGTGCCCGCTGTTCCAAGAGTCTAAAATAACATGGTAAACCTTCTTGCATTTCAGTTTTCCTCCTTGAGTTTGTATCACGGTGCCGGGTTTAGCTCCCAGAGGATGTTGATGTCTACACTCATCCTGAATAACCTGGCCTCCAGCATCAAGGAGAGAGCCAGACACAGCTCCAACAGAGAAATCTAGATCTGCCTGTGTCGTGTTCACCAACACGTCGGCCTGGAGAACAGTGTCAGTATGGTACAACTGATGTTTTGCAAAGTGATAAGTGATAAAGTTAATATTTTAATTTTTTTCTTATTTTAATTTTGTTCGTTTTTCCAATAAGTATATTTTACATTGGACATAATGGACATTTAGGTTATATTTGAGTTATATTATAGTTCTAATTGTTTGAGAAATTGAGAGAATGTTTTTGAGAACAATCTCTTGTACAACACAATTAGTGGCGTACGTCAATACTTCATTGAAACAGACTGCATGATTAGACTGCTAGCCTATTACCTCCAACTGAGTGAGATCTCCAGTGATTGCCCTGATGGTCAGCTCTGAAACACATGGGACCCAAATAACTGCAGCAAATATGGCGTTACGGGTTTGAAATGGCTGAATATATTTGAAACAAAGGGTTTATTTCAAATTTGAAAATATTTCCTTTATTTGCAAGAGTATATAATGTGACTGTTTCATGATCCGTGAGTGTTTCTTTTTACCTTTAGTTCCCGCAGCTTTCTTCAAGACAACCTCCTTGCTAACACGGTGTTGATGGACTACCGATACACCATCCCTTCTCGCTATAAAGTCCTAGGCATATTCAAAACGTTGTTAAAGAGTCTGTAATTCGGTTACATCTCATTACATCTGTACATACCCGTAAATATTCGGATGAAATTGATCTTCAGGAACCCATTCTCGTGGTCAGACACGACTACATAGTCCGTACATCGTATTTGTGGGACCCAATTTTTAGAGATTTTGTTCGCCTGAGTATGTTTGTATATGATAAAAAGTAGACATATGCTAAACTCGAAGATATATAAACTTTTAGTTATGTGATGTCCAGAGAGGGTTCGCGGTACCCCCATGTGTGGGGGTTGGGGTTAAGGAGTTGGGGGTGGGGGTGTAACAGCAGTTGACTGAATGTCCGTCTACATTGACAACAATGTGTGAATACACTATGCTAGTTAGAAAATGATTTATATTCTATTTGGGATTACACGCTCACAGTAAAGTACAGATTCGAATCCACACTCGCAGAGTCAGTGACCTAATAGACAGCACACAAAGTCAGCGATCTAACCCACACAGAAACCGCGGTACTTTACTAAGAAAGAGTTATCCTAAACATAACACATGTTAGACAGAATGTGGGTTAGGCCTCATTTCATTACTTACTCATGAAGAGGGATACAGAGAAAAAGGACCCCAGCGAAAACGGACCCCCAAAAAATCGAGAAAACGGCCACCGTGCTGGAGAAAACGGCCTCCGGACCACGAGAAAACGGCCAACATAGTTGCACCAAGATCAAAAGATATTATATGATTATATATTGCCTAAATAATAGAGATTTACTTCCGATGAACAAACCAGTTTGATTGATTGTGTATTTGACAGGTAAGACTAGTTGATAAGGTAGTGTGTATATTGATCAGCGGATTAGTAGTACTAATTCCAACTTTCGTTCTTGTAGCTCTGCCATGGTCCCTAGTATGGCGATCTGCGTTCAGTTGTTGGTATTCTATAGCCTGTTTTATTTCTTATTGTACCATGTATTGTCATTTATAGTTCAAATGTTATCATTGGTGTTGCCTCCTTATCATGATATTGATTTAGAGATGAATAACAGTAGAATAAAGTACATGTAGTTTTCTGTTATATATAATGGCCGTTTTCTCTAGGCATAGAGGCCGTTTTCTCTAGCAGCGGTGGCCGTTTTCTCGATATATTTTTTGGCCGTTTTCGCTGGGGTCCGTTTTCACTATAACCCCATGGAGATCCGGGTTAGAATTGATCTTCAGTAACTCATGCTTGTCGTAAGAGGTGACTAGCGGGATCGGGGGTCAGACTCGCTGACTTGGTTGACACATGTCATCGTACCCCAGTTGCGTAGATCGATGCTCATGCTATTGATCACTGGATTGTCGGGTCCAGACTCCATTATTTACAGACCACCGCCATATAGCTGGTATACTGCTGAGTGTGGCGTAATCTCACTCACTCACTCATTTCACCACGTGATTATACGTGTGCCCTATCAAGTATTTGAAGATGTGTACCTTTCTCAGGACATCGTCGCCTCCATACAGGACAAATTTGGCTGTCTTTAGACTCGTGTTCTTGTTGTTCCGCAGGAATGTCTCCGTGGCAGTAAACATGATGTCTGCAGACCGCATGCTGGGGAATCTGTGAAACCCTGATCCAAGTGCAGGAAAAGCGATGGACCTTAAGTTTTGTTTGGAAGCCATTTCAAGGCACTGGGTGACCACATTCTTAAGTATCTGGGGAGGTAAATACAGTTTCATAATCTGTGCAATCGTGTTATCTAGGTACAGAGAAACATGACAAGATGTGGAAAAATGTAGATGGTTGGTGCAGAATTTGACTAAATTACGATCAACAGCACACTAAAAACTTCCAATGATAATATATAGTTCCCAGAACGGGAAAAGATGATCCCCACCTGTTCTGCCTCATCATTTTTATTCATCCACGGCTTCAGCACAACATGGAACACCTTCTGGCATTGGAGTTTCCCTCCCTTGGTCTGAGCAATGCCACCGACTTCCAGCCCAGAAGGACATGCCTTGGTCAGGTCCTCCTGAAGTTCCTTCCCTCCTGCCTCCAGGAAAGTGTAGGAGACAGTTCCTGCCAAGAGGTTGACATCAGTCCCTGTCGTGTTCACCAAGACATCAGCCTGTCAAGGAGCACATCATAGATGACCTTTGCAAACAGTGGCAGTACTAACGTGAATAAGAACTATGAGTGACGTGTTTGTCCTCTAAAGATCTTCATTTGCATTGTTTTAGTTGAGGGTTATTTATGGTATAAATGTACCTGTTGTTTGGCAATTTCTCCGTCGACCAGTTGTATTTGAGAGTTCATTCCTTCAGCTGAAACAATGGATGTTATACACAAGGGTCATCTATGTGAACACTCAGCCAGGAACAATCCTGCTAACAATCAGTGATTTGTATTTGCTTCGTAAAGACATTGTTAGTACATACACATCAATGACATATTCCACAATATTAAGTCTCAATTTCTCAGGTTTTCCCAAAAGGTTTAAACAACACAGACATAATTAAAACAATAGGAACAATATTGCTTTCAATTCATTCCCAGCAAGCCCATATTCAATACCTACAGAGTCATATTCAATACCCGAGATGCCCATGTTCAATACCTCACATCCCCATGTTCAATACCCGACATGCCCATGTTCAATACCCGACATCCCCATGTTCAATACCCGACATCCCCATGTTCAATACCGACATCCCCATGTTCAATACCCGACATGACCATGTTCAATACCCGACATCCCCATGTTCAATACCCGACATCCCCATGTTCAATACCGACATCCCCATGTTCAATACCCGACATGACCATGTTCAATACCCGACATCCCCATGTTCAATACCCGACATGACCATGTTCAATACCTGACATCCCCATTTTCAATACCCGACATCCCCATGTTCATTACCCGACATGCTCATGTTCAATACCCGACATACCCATTTTCAATATCCGACATGCCAATGTTCAATACCCGACATCCCCATTTTCAATACCCGACATCCCCATGTTCAATACCCGACATGCCCATGTTCAATACCCGACACCCCAATGTTCAATACCCGACATCCCCAACATGCTAATGTTTAATACCCGACATGTCCATGTTCAATACCCGAGATGCCCATGTTCAATACCCGAGATGCCCATGTTCAATATCCAACATGCCCATGTTCAATAACCGACATGCCCATGTTCAATACCCGACATCCCCATGTTCAATACCCGACATGCCCATTTTCAATACCCGACATCCCCATGTTCAATACCCGACATGCCCATGTTCAATACCCGACATCCCCGACATGCTAATGTTTAATACCCGACATGTCCATGTTCAATACCCGAGATGCCCATGTTCAATACCCGAGATGCCCATGTTCAATATCCGACATGGCCATGTTCAATACCCGACATGCCCATGTTCAATACCCGACATCCCCATGTTCAATACCCGACATGCCCATGTTCAATATCCGACATCCCCATGTTCAATAACCCCCGTTCCCATGTTCAATACCCCACACCCAGATATTCAATACCCGACTCGCCCATATTCAATAGCCGACAGCCCAATGTTCAATAGCCCACCTCCTCATGTTCAATACCGAACAGGCCCATTTTCAATAACCACAATGCCCATATTCGCTACCCGACAAGCACATGTTTAATACCCCAGCCCACACATGTTCAATACCCCACACCCAGATATTCAATACCGGACACGCCCATATTCAAAAGCCGACAGCCCAGTGTTCAATAGCCCACATGCTCATGTTCAATATTTCACACGCCCATATTCAATACCCCACATGGCAATATTCAATACCTCACACCCCAATGTTCAATAACCCCACGTGCCCATATTCCATACCCGACAAGTACATTGTCAGTACCCCACCCCACACATGTTCAATAACCCACATCCTCATGTTCTATACACTATGCCCATGTTCAATATCCCACACGCCTATATATAATACCCCACACATCAATTTTCAATACCTGACACGCCCATGTTCAAAAACCCACATGCCCATGTTCAATACCCCACATCCCAATGTTCAGTTACCCACGCGCACGTGTTTAAGTACCTAAAAATTAAAGCGACAATATTCACGAGTAGTCTATTGTTTTATTCCGATTGTATCCTGAACATGGACTTATAACATGGGACGTTAAACCTCACCAGTTGACTCACACAATGTGCTGATCACAACCGATATCCTGGGTATTGTTATACTTGCCTCTCCAGAAGAATTCTATCAACTTCTTGAATATTCTGTCTGTCTACATAGTCGGCGAGCTGGATATGATACATACACATATTTGGATGATTAGAAGACACGATGTACAATGCACTTTATAGGTACCCAATAATACTACATACTGTTACGTGTTGATTCCTCAGTTTAATGTAAATGGTTAAAGCCTGAGTCACACCAAGGTAGTTCTTAGTACGTGCTGCCCCGTCCAAAAAAATAATTGTAAAACGGGCTTGAACGGGATAGAACGTGGAAATTTTGTACGAATTTCGACGCTATTTCGAATCAAACAGATCTCAGTACGTCTACTTCGTCTTTACCCCATCACGAGACAGCTGGTATCACGATTAGACGATTAGGGTAAATTTGCCCGTTCAACCCCGTATGGACAACGTTTTCAGGCAGTACATAGTGAGTTCAGTCCCGTCCTTTATCAGTGGATATTCTTCTGAACTGGATCTATCTCGTTCTTAATACAAACAACCCCGTTCTAACTCGTTCTTAACTCGAGCAACTCTTTTTCAGACACTTCTTCCCGTTCGCACTACGTTCTCACACCTAATGCGTGCAAACGTAATAGCAATCACGTCCTAATCCGATTTCTATAATAACCCATCATATTTGAGGCGGAATGAGCCGGAGGGAAATTTCCTGCAGACTCCCGGAAATTCGAATTGCCTTCTAAAACTTCTTACTGCATTCCTTAAACTTTTCAGGATCATTTTGAAAATATCTAATGGCATTTGAAGTGCATTCTAACTTCATTCTAAGTATTCTTATTGCATTTTAACTGCATTCTAAGTATTCTGAACGTATTCGAGGGAGAATCGAAAAGGCAAGCCAATTCAAATCCTGTCAGAATGTCCCAAATGCGCCTCGAATGAGTCGGAATGTATCTCGATTACTGGAGTTCGGGTTGAATATTCTTCAAATGTATCGACTGCAGTTGGAATACAGCTCTGATGTACCTCGAATACATTTCGAATACAGTCAGAATGTCCCGAGTGCTATTCAAATGAGGCCTGACGTCATCAGAACACCGCCGAATTGCATAAAAACGTGGGCACCTCTCACTGAAACATCAGATAGCATTTGGGAGTCGCCAGTAAAAAGAAATAGTATGCATTGTCAGTATTCTAAAAATTCCTTCAGTATTCCGATTCATTCGAGCTGCATTCTATTACAATTGGAATGAGCAAAAATGATTCGAGGCAGATTCTAAGTAATCCAACGGCACATTTATAAATCTTGAAAGAAATGTTTATTTTGACATTCTCTCCCAAATGCGGTTCGAATTTTGGAGAAAAAAAATCTGTCTGGTTCTCCTTGATTCCTGCCAATTCGAAATAAGTGTGAAGGAGTCTTAAGTAGCCAACACGTTCTTGTCCGTTCTCTTTCCCCTTCAAAGTGTCATCAAACATGATGTGATTCTCAAGAAATAATTTAAAGACTCCTGATCATAAAGGTGGAGCTCCTCCATCAGTTGATGATAATGTCCCACAGCCTCTCAGGTTTAAGCCAGTTTCTCACCGAACAAGTTCTTGTTCTGTTCCACCTTTCTTGCTCTACTCTTGCTCCGCTTCCAATAAAACAATTCAGGAAACCAACATTCAACATGTTGTAGTTAATGTCAATGTCATTACATCGGCGACCTCCGGAAACCCTCGGTGGCTTCCGCCAGGGTTGACCTACATCTGGGTGTGTGCTGATATTGATTCTGAACCAAGAAGGTCTGTAGTAACTAAAAGAAACCACGAATCCGTTGGTATATGACCAGATGGCGGCTACATGAATACGTGCAAACACCTAGTTGCGGGTACAGCAACGTGCAGTGAAGTTGGACAAAGTACTGTGACTATGTGTCCCAGTCCACCCAGCTGTGAATGGGTACCTCGCTAGGATGAGAAAGCCACAATAACTCGGTGCGCCTAGTGGAAGCAAGAGTTGTATACTCCCCAGGGAGTTGAGATTGATAATACGATGTGACGTTAAGATTGAAATCCAGTGATCGAGGGAAAAATACCAGCGCCTTGAGCATGCGCTAGTTGCGTGGATATGTGCGCTATATAAAATACTATAATAAAAAAATAATAATTCGTTTTACGTGGTTCGCAGAATAACTCCCTATTCCGCGAGTGTCACACCATTCTAGCTATGGTGGTTGGTGCCAGTAGCACAATTCACAGTTAGGAGAGGATCTGAGCTCTCGAAGAAGCATTCTCATCCAAACCCTCAGTGTGATCAGTGTGATCATCAAAGCCCTCTGCATGGTCGCCTGTGTACCAGCAGAAATCGTCCAAGCTCCAGCAGTTCACTGGAGCCCTCTCTGAGAAAACTTGGGCCCCCACAGAGAGGACTGTCCCAGCCCTCGCCGAGAAGAGCAATGGTGCCCTCACCAAGACGACCGCCAGGATTCTCAGCACAGATGTTGGTGCAGTCATCGAATTCCCAGCCGTGTGGTCTACCGGTCCTCTGACAAGAGAGCCCAACAGCAGTCAAAACGCCGGAGGGAAGGAACTTCGAGAGGGCGACGGGAAACTTCGACGAAGACACCACGTCTTGAAGGGGGGCTGGAAGGGAATCAGGGGTTAGGTGGCCTCCCCCTGACAACGAAGGATATCCCCAGCACTTCCCGGGCATCAACAAACCAGGAGTGAGGTGACCTCCTTCTGGCAACGGTGGATGCAACCAGCACATCACAGACATCAACTGATGAGGGGCGAGGGTGCCTTCCCCTCCCACTGGTGGACCATGTCGACGATACAAATAGGACATCCACTTCAGCGTCTGCAGCTGCAACGTCTGAATGCATCATACACCATTGCCGTGCCCCCATCATGGACCAGTACAGCCATCTACTTGCTGTTCATGTACCGCCCTGTATTGGACAGTTTGGGGCCGGGGATTGATCACAGGATGTCATCCAGCAATGCCTGTTCATCCTCAACACTTTGGCACTGTGGCGGCTTGGGCAGCGATACGGGACACTGGAGGAGTTGATGACAGTCTTGAATGTAAGTCGGGAAATTCTGGGAGCTGAATTTCAAAGATACCCAAGTTGCCTTGGAGCCATTTGTTTGGCAGCCGGATGGAGTCATATCAACAGCGGCGACATTCCTCGTGGGGCTGGGCCAGCAGCACTCCTACACCGGCTGTGGCAGATAATGTACCCATGACAGATGGTGCGGAGCGGCTCCCACCTGAGGAAGACCTAGTTCAGCAGTTGGACGTGGAGAGGCTCTGGTCTGACGCCATGGAAACCACTGAAACAACGTTTCTGGTTTGCATACCATCATCCGTTCCACCCATTGATGAGGACCTCACAGAAGCATTCAACATTTTCACGCGGATAGGACCTGTAAGTGGCTGTTCCAGTATACGACTGTTGAGTCTCCACTAGTCACTCTCGTGGATTGGACACTGGTACAGGCTCCGAGATGCTGGTAAGTGGCATCACATGCTTCTGTGACCCAGAGATGTGGATGGCATCCATACCGACATGGCCTTCTTGGGAGGTGTCCCTAGGCATACACCCCCGCAAGGTCAAAGATGCATCGTCCGGCTTTATAACAAAATTCATCAGACAGTGCACCGAACCAGGAGTGTCGGCAAGACAATCAAGCGCTCATGCACGTGCCAGGCGACGTGACGTCATTGACGGTGGCCTAAGGCCTTGCAATTTGTTACTGCACGTGCAGCCCGTATAGATGCACACAACATGTGAAACTCTGAAATTGCTGTCACTGTCGAAAGCTTGATCTTGGGTCATTCAAACGTTCCCCAATTCACATGAGAAGTCACATGCACATCATGCCAAGATTAACATCTGCTCAACGTCATGAAGCCATTGGATCGGAATGGTTCGAGCAGGAATGAGCCAACAACAGGTGGCAGCACATTTCCAATGCCATCGTAACATGATATCTGCATGGGTCAGGCGTTATCGAAACAGTAATGACGTCTCCGACCATCCACGTTCTGGGCGTTCCCGACGTAAAGACGCCAAGACGGGACAGATGGATTCGGGTGACCATCACAGATACAGGTTCCAGACAGCAGTGACCACGTCCCAGACCATTGCCCAGTCCTTCAATGCTCATTTGCTAGCCTCTATGCGTCTTCGATGCACTGCTGTGCTTCACGCATACGGTGGTCATACCCGTTATTGACTTTGTGACTTCGCCGATTTTGAACTTCTGACGTCATCGTTATGGATATTGTTCATGTTCTGTTGACATTTTCTTGTGGTCAGATACTTCAGCTTATAACGTGCCTACATCATTTCGTCTTTGCTGTGTTGTATTCCAATTATGAAGGCATTTTCTGTGTGCACAGTTTCTTTATGTGGCTAGGATAGAATAGCGGCACGAGATCACTTTTGACAAAAGCCTCTGCTTTATTATTTATGAAATAAAGCTTTTATCAGGCCCTAATCTCGTACCGCTATTCTATATACCACTTTTGAATCCCCAGCCAGCTCCCTGGTCACTATGACAGCGAGCCAACACTTTCCTGGTCACGTGACACTATTTTGTTTACTTCTTGAGCGGTGGCAACATTGTGTCGTGAGGTATGATCAATACCTCTGGCTTGCTGGTCACTATGACCGCGAGCCAACACTTTCCTGGTCATTTGGCTATGTTGATCTCCGCGAAACAATTTAATGTGAATCGCCTATGATTTCTTTGGTTTTTGTAATGAAGGTTTGTTGGGCTTGTTGTATCCCTTGGTTTATGTACTTTTTTTTCTCGTCTTCACTGATGGCAGTGCTTTTACGAGACTTGGTTCGAATCTCTTGTTTCATTCCGTGATATTTTGCGAGTTCAGAGAGTACCAAACGAAACTCATCCTCTGAGATTTTACTGTCCGTGAGTGCGGTGGAAATATGATTGGCTATTTTTTTAACTTTGCTTCGGCTAGAATTCTTATTTCGTCGTGTTTCAATGCTTTATGGTGCAGTTTGCGAGATAAAAACTTAAACACCAATCCCACCAACCCTGACACTCCAGCTGTTATTTCAATACCTAGCACTATAGGTGGTGGACAATAACCCGAAATTGAAAGCTCTATGGTATTTCTTACATAATGCTTCCCGTGTGTCGCGATCTTGTTCTAGTTGACGTTTTATGTCACATAACTGTCTCAAACGAAACCCGTCTACAGTTTCCAGTGTTTCTGTTACTTCTTCTACGGCTGGGTACAGTCCCATCCTGTGTGTGTGTTACATATTATAAGATAAAATTTAATTGGTTTTTCGTTAATTTCTTATCAATGTATTTGAGGCTTATCAGGTTTAGATTTTTATGCAAGAAAATCCCTGAGACATCAATAGACACATCTTGGTCCAAAATACGGGCCCCCTCGAGGCTTATTAAGGGTGCCGATCCTGGTTGTACGAAGATACGACAACGTTGGTAATTGTGCCTGTCTTCCCAGACTATTACCAACCCGTTTAAAGGGGTTGCATCATTATGAGTCCCGAGATAGACTTCTATGATGAGTGTGGTGTCTGGTCTCATAACCAAAAACTGCTGTTGGTAATCGGGTGATTCGGAACTTAAAAATGCAAACTCATCGTTTAGAGCTAACATGTTGCCTGTGTAGACTGGTATTCGTATAACTTGGGTATTATCAAATGGAATGAAAGATGTGAGAATGATCCCGTCGTTCTTAATCTCGGAGACGTAAACATTTTGTATAAACGAGATGTAAGGTGCGGTGAAGGTTATGTTGATCAACCATTCGGGTTCTTTAAAATCTGTCAGAGGCACCCACTCATACACCTTGTCTTTTAACTGCAGGACGTACAAGGTGTTTTCCTCGCCGGGCCAATCGAATATCTCCTTGTCTCCTAGATCCCCAAGTGTGATGTTTGGGTGACGACTGTTCATCGTCTATATAAATTGTTATAAAACAGTAAAATAAAATTGTTTTTCTGATAATTTCTCAGGTGTGCGATTCAACCCTATGAAATGTATGTTGTCGGGTAGGAAAATTTTGGTGAGTCATATCGTGTGTTCCACGGAAACGGTGACTCCCTGCAGACTGGTGTGGGAATCGATGTTCACCCGCACGTAAACACAGCAAACGTGGTATTGATGTTGTTTGGCCCACCGGAGTTTGCTTCCTTTCACGATTTCGACTTCAAGTGATGATGGCTCGCCGAGGTAGTAGACTTGGATGATCAGCGTGGAATTCTCCGGTATATTTTCTAGGATATTGGCAACGCTGTAGAATTCAGATACTATTTGCAATCCAACGTTTTGCGGCCCAGGTTTGCTTGAGAGTATGTGAGTGAGTAAATCAAGACGCGACAAGGCCTCGACGACACCGGCGAGTTTCTGCGCTGGGACCTAAGCCACGATCAGTGTTCCGTTGTTCACGACTTTGTTTAGGTAGTGGTCTTTGTTTTCTGTGAACACGTAGGGAGAGCCGAGCGTGATGTTGAGAAACCAGTCGGTTCGAAATTGTACCAAACCCCATTTGTTGTCATCGGTGAAGACAAGGCTGTACTGCTTGTTTCGAGCAACGATCGTGGTCTCAACGTCGTCTAGGTCGAATAGTTTGCCACCGAACGCTGGGTATATCGTCCATTCGTCCTCGTCCGTTGCGGACTTTTCAAATTACGGTGAAAATGTCGCCTGATAAACAGCAGACAGACGGTGCCGTTGAATACGTTCAGCCTTACTTCAGGGGCAACCAGGAAGTCGCGACTCAACCCGAGACGATAGACGTGTCCATCGACAACTCGTTGCAAAAAATACGAAAATACCTGGAAAGCTACACGCACAGGGGTTCCGGGTGGTTCATGGACAGAATTGATAAGGTCTATGTGGACATAGCTAACTACATACCGTTCAAAGGCAGATCGTACCTGGGCTTGCCACCCTACTACAAGGGAAAACAAGCCATGATCAACGCCAAAAACAGAGGTAATAATTGTTTGAGGTTAGCAATCAGATCCGCATTGTTTCTGGTCAACGTTAATTCAAACAGACCTTCGAGCTTTCCCAAAGACGACGGACCTAACTGTGATGGTATAGACGAATCCACACCCATATCTCAGATCACAAAAATCGAAAAACAGAACTACATAGCCATCAACGTCTTTGGGTATGAAGGCAACAAAACGATCATGAACAGGATCAGCCCGATGACCAAGGGTCGCATGATCAATATATTCGTGATCCAGCGAGGTGACAAGTATCACTACGCATGGATAAAACACTTCAGCAGACTGTTGCACGACCAATCAAAATACGAGGGGAAAAAACCACTTTTGTGAATGGTGCATGCACTGTTTCACGTGAGCTGATTTATTAGAATATCACTGGGAGGATTGCCTAGGCGTGGGCCATACGGCCATACGAATCGACATGCCCAACGAAAACGACAACATCTTAAAATTCACCAACCACAAAAATCAAATACCCGTGCCTTACATCATCTATGCCGAATTCGAAGCCCTCATCAAACACGTTGACCCCATAGGTCCGTCCCTGGACAAACGTTTCATGCACAAAATGCAGGAGCACGAGGCCTGTGGATTCGGATACGTGGTCGTCCGATGTGATGGGAAAACAAACGCTCCCGTGGTGTACAGAGGTCCCGACGCAGCTGAAAAATTTATCATATGTTTGCACGAAGAGAAAATGATCAGGAAAAAGTTGTACACCGTCCTCCCCATGCGCATGACCCAAGCCCACCAGCGAGCTCACAACGGTAGCCACATGTGCCACGTGTGCGACGAACCGCTGAACGGCGATTCGGTGAGAGATCACTGCCACATCACCGGCGAGTACAGAGGCGCCGCTCACAATGCGTGTAACCTCAAACTCAAAATCAATCCCAAAACCATCCAAATCCCCGTCATGTTTCACAATTTGAGAGGGTACGACTCTCACTTGATCATGCAGGCCATCGCGAAGGTCGATGGCAACCTGACATGCATCCCCAACAACATAGATAAATACATCTCCTTCTCATTAAATGGTCTTAGATTCATCGACAGCGTTCAATTCCTGCTGTCGTCTCTCGATAGTTTGGTCAAGGCCAACGACCCAAACGACTTCCACATCACCAATCGATACACTGACGCCGAGACTCGACCTCTGCTGATGAGGAAGGGCGTTTACGCCTATGAATACATGGACAGCTGGGTCAAGTTCAATGAGGCACGACTGCCTCCCATCAACCCATTTTACAGCAACTTGACCGGCTCGGCCATCACCCAGGACGATTACTCGCACGCGATTAACGTATGGGATAAACTGGGCTGCAAGAATCTGGGTTAATACCACGACCTGTACTTGAAAACAGAAGTACTCCTGTTGGGTGACGTGTTCGAGATATTTAGAAAAACGGGCTCGAAACAATACAGCCTAGACACCGCATGGTATTTCTCCTCCCCGGTTTCTCTTGGGATGTCTTGTTGAAAAAGACCGGTGTGGAACTATTGACGGATTACGACATGTGACTGTTCATCGACAAAAG